CCGTTGCGGAGCACAGGCTCCGGACGCGCAGGCTCAGTGGCCATGGCTCACGGGCCCAGCCGCTCCGTGGCATGTGGGATCTTCCCGGACCAGGGCACGAACCCGTGTCCCCTGCATTGGCAGGCGGACTCTCAACCACTGCGCCACCAGGGAAGCCCCTTTATTTATATTTTGTCATTTGATCCACCAAACCTAGAGAATTTTTTTTTCTGAGTAGGTTGTGAAGTTTAGAAATTGGAGGAGTCACATGGCCAAATAAGGTTTCATCTGAGAAGCGCAAACAGCAAGGGCCACTCTTACTGCTTTTCCCAGAAGAAGAGACAATGAAGGCAAGTCAGGCAGTTTTTAACCTGGATAGTGGAGAGTGTATCCTGCCTGTTTCCATTGTACCTCTGAACATACTAAGAAAGGATACAGGGACGTCCCTGGTGGCGCACTGGTTAAGAATCCGCCTGCCGATGCAGGGGACACGGGTTCGAGCCCTGGTCCGGGAAGATCCCACATGCCACGGAGCAACTAAGCCCGGGTGCCAAAACTACTGAGCCTGCGCTCTAGAGCCCGCAAGCCACAACTACTGAGCCCACGTGCCACAGCTACTGAAGCCTGACTGCCTAGAGCCCGTGCTCCGTAACAAGAGAAGCCACTGCAATGAGAAGCCCGTGCACTGCAATGAAGAGTAGCCCCTGCTCACCGCAACTAGAGAAAGCCCGCGCGCAGCAACGAAGACCCGACGCAGCCAAAAATAAATACATAAATAAATATTTAAAAAAGGATAAATCGGCATACCCAGACAATAGAACAGTAGTCAACACTAAAAAGAAGTGAGCTATCAAGCCGTGGAGGAAAGTTAAATGTATTTCTGGAAAGGCTACACCCTGTATGACTCCAACTATATGACACCTGGAAAGGACAAAACTATGGAGACAGTAAAAAAAGAACCACTGATTTACCAGGGGTGAGGGGCAGAGAGGGATGAACAGGTGGGGCACAGAGGCTCTTTAGGGAGATGAAAATACTCTGTAAAATACTACAATGGTAGGTACGTCATCATGCATTTGTCCAAACACATAGAATGTACAACGCCGGGGCGGGGGTGAACCCCAATGCAAACTATGCACTTTGGGTGATGAAGATGTGTCAGTATCCTCTGACAAATGTTTCCTGTGGTCGGGGGCAGACTGAGCACCTGCAGGGGCAGTGGGTGTGTACCTGGGAAGTCTGCATACCTTCTGCTCACTTTTGCTGGGAACCTAAGACTGCTCTAAGTAAATGATGTTTATTAAGAAAAAAAATGTGAAGCTAAAAAAAGGATAGAGAGTTTACCCTTAAGCAACGTGGCTGTTAGGGGCGTGGACCACCCACACAGTGGAAAATCTGCATGTACTTTACAGTTGGCCCCCATATCCGAGGTGCCACATCCCCTGATCCAACCAACCGTGGAGCATGTAGTACTGTGATATTTACATGGAAAAAAATCTGTGTGTAAGTCGATCTGCACAGTTCAAATCCCTGTTGTTCAAGGGTCAATTGTGCGTCTTCCACATGGAAGCAAATGAAAGGTAGAATGTAAGAACTACAGTAACATCTATACTGTAGATTTCACAATCATACCTCAAGCATTTTTAAGTGGAAGATATGACATCTGCAAGAAAATAGAGTTTTACTGGTTTTAGGAAAGCTTTAAGAGGCCATTAAAGTTACCTATTTACAAAAAAGGGCAAACATTTGGAGAAATATTGGGGTATTAGAATATGTCTCTCTGACCTTCATACCTTTATCAAGAGGGAGTATTTCTCCAATTTAGGCAAATGAACTTTTCATAACAGGCAGGATATTATGTTACTTAAAGAAATAGATGGGCTTCCCTGGTGGCGCAGTGGTTGGGAGTCCGCCTGCCGATGCAGGAGACATGGGTTCGTGCCCTGGTTCGGGAAGATCCCACATGCCGCGGAGCGGCTGGGCCCGTGAGCCATGGCCGCTGGGCCTGCGCGTCCGGAGCCTGTGCTCCGTAACGGGAGAGGCCACAACAGTGAGAGGCCCGCGTACCGCAAAAAAAAAAAAGAAATGGATTAAGAATTTTATGAGACAAGGTTCATTTCCAATTATGTTAAACATTAGAAAGATTATTAGAACTTTTATTTCATTTAGCCTGGGACTTATATGTGTATTATGAAGTTCAAATTGGTTCCAAAGATAATGCTTTCTACGATGAAATTTAAGAAAACCCTGACAAGGAATATATTTCTGATTTAATCCTCATTCTTCCTATACAATAGAAATTAACTATGAAAAAATGAAATAAAGCTAACTAATGTTAAAAAAAAAATCACCCTTCAACACTGACATGTTAATAGGAAACTAACACTATGTAAAAAGGAAAGATTTTAGGATTTGAAGGAAAATCACCTGGAAATTATCTAGTCAACCTGTGTCCAATAAATTGGAGTGAACTAGACACAGAATCTAAGTGATGGGACATGGTACCACGTGGGAAGAGCCAGGGCTGGGACCCAGGTGTCCCGATGCCCACCTGCCACCTTCGCCTTCACCAGATCTGGAAGATCAAGAAGAAACAGACAGAGGAGGCAAGAAAACCAACCTTCCTCCCTGCATGCTGCCCACTGGAAAATCTACCACCATGGCACTCTTTTCTCTTTATCAGGTTTAGACACTTTTTTCTTTAAGGATGTAGTAGCTGAGCTGAGTATAAAGGTCACTATTTTACCTGCTAAAAACGTTTAATACGGGTTTTTCAATTTTCTGAAAAATTGGCAGTAGTGTTCAACTTTTAAAAAATGTCCACTTTGGGGCTTTTACCACCTTCAAAAATCACTAAAAGAGAAAACACACCACCAAATGATATACAGTTTAAAGAATAAACAAGTCCCTCCAACCCCCGTAGGAGACCCACCCCAGAGAGCCCACGAGGACAGCTCGGGCCACCCCGGGCACTTACTCCGCAGGCTTCCCATGCTGGGCGCCGGCTGGGTCCGGGGTGGCAGGGTGCTGTGGTAGGGCGGGGTGGTGCTGAACAGGATGTCACTGGGCAGGGCCTGGTCAAGGATGGAACTTCGGGAGCTGCCGAAGGAAGAACCCCTCCGGTGGCTGCAAATGCTCTCGTCCGAGAGGGTGCGGTACAGCGAGCGGCGTGGGGACAGGTTCCCATAGAACGAAAACTAGGGGTTGAGACAGGAGGAGGGAAGGGAAAACAGATGTCAGAAAGCTGACAGCGTGAAACTCATGTGACTACCTTAGGCGGGGTCCCGTACCACCGTGGGAGCATCTCTGAGCAGCAGGTGCGCGCACAGCCTCAGCCTAGGGATGCTGCAACCAGGCACGCAGGTCACCGAGGCAAACGCACAAGGGCTTCCTGCAGTTACTGGGTTTGGCTCTTTTCCTCCTTTGATGTTCTGTGAAATATTACCACGAATTAGACAGGCACAGCTCTGTTCTGAAATGTTAAATGGAGGCTCCATAAGCTTTTAGCTGTGGCAGCTTCTGGAAATACAGAACGCTGCCATTTCGGGCAACACTTATTCAAAACCACACCTAGCGCTGGCTTGATCTTCATTGGAAATGACTACCTTTTAATATTAGGTGATTTCTGTACCAATCAACTACATGCGAGGTTCAACCTAATCTAGGTCATAATAATAATATTAGTTTTTGAGCGCTGCAGCTTTCTAAGCCACACACAGATTCAAGAAAGACAGTATTGGTCCAGGAAAGTCTTACTGTCTACATACTTTAAAGTTTCACTCACAGAAGTCTATTACAGTTGTTGAGAATTGAGTTATAGTAATCAATCGTAACCAGATTTAAAGAAACCATTAAAATTATTGTGTTAAATCACAGATAGGGTAGGGAAAGCTCCTACTAAAGAAGCAAGTAGTCAAAAACTCAAGAAAAATTAAATCCAATCTGAATTTCCAACTTCTTCTATATCCTGAACCACGTTCCTTTTACATCAATAATAGTAAAAGCCAGAATGTTTGCATCAAGCAAATACAGAAATGGTTATTTACGTCTGTGAATGTAAAGCATTTCTATTGTATGTGTCCCTTTCATCCTGTCAAGTCGGTCCAGCTGATGAATGGGAACCAGAGTGTGTGCGAACTGCAAAGTTAAGTTTGCGCTACGAAAAGAAGGCGATTTGTCTTAGAAGAGAAAAAAAAACACATGTCAAGGAGAAGTTTGTTCCTATTAAAAGAAAAGCTATTTGCACTTTCGGTACAATAGCCCGCACCCAAGCTTATACAGTACCGTATACATGATTTGATACGAGTTAAAAAAAAAAAAAAAAAAGACTCATTCTGTTGAGCTCTTCCGAGATTCCCTCTTCACACACAACCAGCAGGCTCTTCAGAACACGATTACAGGCCCATTAGATTAAAGCGGCTTTGAGGTAGTATCTCATGAGAGTGTTATTCTAAGAACACAATTAGGTTAATTGCAGCACTGTTTTATGATAGGGAAGACGGTAGCACAAAGCCTTGCTGTTTATCTTGATCACAGTCAAGATGGCCATGCCTGACTTTTTTCTTTTCATTTGGACAAGAGAGCGCTGAATCAGAAGGGAGAAAGGCCTGCTGCATTCCACGGCTGACTCTGCCACCAAGTATTTATGGGAACGTCACATTTCATCAGTTGGGGCCTCAGTTACTTGCCAGAAGAGGAGATTGGGCTGGATTACCTGGGAGTCCTTTTTCACTTTCCATTACTTAACAAAGTGGTTTAAGAGACTGTAATAATACATAATAAAACTAAAACTAATAAGGACAATAAAGTCATCTAACGGTAGCGAGGGTCTGCGCCCTGGTGACGAAGCCGTGCCCTCGAACGTGAGGTTGGTCTGTGAGACTGACGCGTGGCCTTTCCTTGTGAGTGGGCACGGTTTACAGGCACGGGGCAAGTGCCATCTGATTTATGACGCCAGGCAGTAGAGTACCTAAGTCCAGCCCATTTCTGGAACAGGATTACCCCCAAGCAGGATGGCTTGGAGAACTCTATCCTTGGTACAAGTTCCGGAGCAAAAGTCAGGCGGTGTGAATTTTAACAGCTACTATTTCTGATGACCTGTTATATCCGGGTCCTCTGTGAAGTTGGTTCTTATCTTTGCTGTAACTCTGTAGTACATTTATCATTGCTTCCTTTTTTCACAGGATGACGCTGGGCCAAGAGATTAAGTCACATGAACAAAATCACACGGCTGATGGTCACTGCAACCGAGAACTGAGGCCAGGCCCGCCTGCCTCTAGCTTCCTCTGTCCGTCTAGAAAGCTGCCCTTCCTGACCTCTCCCAGGCTCACTCTGCTTCCTGGGGGAATAACAGTGAAAATGGCCAACCGGGCACAGAGCTGTAGGTAGGATCACGAGAGAGGCCACATGTGGGAGAACTCTGGAAGCCCTGGTGTCTCTTTACGCTTTTCCTTAGTGTTTCCGGTCACTTCAAAGCTACACAAAAGTCACTAACCTTTCTCCTCCCCTCCTCCACGGAGGGGCTGTCGGGAAGCATCAATTTCAGAAAGTCTTCTTTGGAGAGCACGTGCTGAGTTTCTGAGACATCATCTCCCACCACTGCCTGCTGCTGAGCTGCGGTGGACAGGAGACCCATCTCACCATACAGCCTGGTGAAACAAGGCAGAAGGAAAATGAAGGTGAGTCATCGGCCTATCTGTAAAACGCCGGTAGCCTTATGAATTAAAATCCAGTCACCAGCTTCACCCACCACGTTCATACACACACAGCTCTTCTTAGTTATTGAGCTGATTCACTTCTGCTGCATTTCTCCCAGATCCCCGTGCCATCCTACGTTCGTGAAATGAGTGCAAACTTAGGTTTCTGAATAATGCAGAACAAATCAGATCCCCAAAGCCCTGAATGAGAAAAACATAGAGCCAACGGTTCAAATAAGGCTGTGTCTTCCCTTTCCTAACCTGTGTCAGAAAACACAGTTTCAATAATTCATTGGAGATTATCTCGTGTTCTTTGAAGGAAGCCTGGTGCTTGTCCGGAATTTGAGAAAGCCCTTCTCTTGTGGCTGGGCAAACCCACGCACCGTCCACCCTGCAACACGGAGAGCCAGACCCCGGGGAACCTGATGTTGAACAGTAATCCATCCGGGTGCATGCCAAGCATGTTTATTATCAGCCCTTTCGCAAAGCTGTTTGGATAAATGAAGCAGCTGTCCCCCTTGATTATCAGTATATAGAAATGTATTTATGGACAACAAAAGACTGTCTAGCCGAATTACTGTTTTCAGCTCTTTTCCAGGGAGAAAACTGGGGAGCCGTTTTTAAAAGGTTTGGTCTGCAAATGTAATCTGAGCCACGGAACATTCCTGAAGACACGGTAGGTGAAGAACCAGGGGCTTGTACTGTCAGCAGAGGCGGACGGGCCGCACGACCTGAAACGTGATGCTCCAGGAACCCACGGCCCAGGGCGGCAGCTTGCAGAGGATGACCTGTGTGTGACTGTCCTGCATCACCGAGATGACCCCATCTCTAAAGCCAGGCTCCTGTCTTGCAGGGTGACGGCTCACTGGGGAATTATCAGGATATGAAACTCACATGAACATGCTCAAAATTAAGAACGATTTATCGGAGCTCGCTATGGCTCTTGCTTTGTTCCTGAGGTAGGTCAGGGACTTTTTGGCTCGGTAAGTAGCAGCAGTACTGGTGACATGAAAGCAGTGGCTGGGGAAGAAGCTTTCAAAACTTTTAAATGTGACTGAAGATGTGGTTGTCTTGGGAGCTGAAAAAGAACCCAAGACCCGGGGGATGGGGGCTCTGCACGGAACCCCCGTGGGAAGGCCCACCATGGAGGGTTTGTGACGAGGCCGTCAGACGTGCCCATCTGTGGGCCCTGAGATTTGGGGGTGGACGTGCTCAAGAGCTCCAGCCCTATCTGCTTTGGGAAAGACGTAGGGAAGAACAAAACAAACCCAGGTCTCGTCAGTAACTGCTGAGATAATAAGGTAACACCGAAAATCACTAATAGAATGCACTATTCCAGTTTCCCTATGTGTTTGAATAAAAATTGCTAGCCTTTTTTCCTGCTAACTTAGTGACTTTATTAAAATTGACAAATGATACGTCAGTAAGTATGCTCCGAGGGTCTACTACGTGTGACTCACGAGGAAGTACAGAGGTGAGCAGGACATGGTACGTGAATATAAAAGCAAGGAACAGAAATTTGTTTTAGGGACTCTGCTGGTGGCGCAGTGGTTAAGAATCTGCCTGCCAACGCAGGGGACACGGGTTCGAGCCCTGGTCCGGGAAGATCCCATACGCCGCAGAGCAACTAAGCCCGTGTGCCACAACTACGGAGCCTGTGCTCTAGAGCCCGCGAGCCACAACTACTGAGCCCACGAGCCACAACTACTAAAGCCCGTGCACCTAGGGCCCATGCTCCGCGATAAGAGAAGCCACCGCAATGAGAAGCCTGCGCACCGCAACAAAGAGTAGCCCCCACTTGCTGCAACTAGAGAAAGCCCACGGGCAGCAACGAAGACCCAACGCAGCCAAAAATAAATAAAATAAACAAATTTATAAAAAAAAAAAAGAAATTTGTTTTAATTTTATATGAGAACATCAAGGAAAGAGAAGACTTTTAAAGAGAAATATAAATGCCAACATTTAAAGAGCTTTACCAAGATGTTTCTCGATTACTCTTTTTTAGAAAATCTGTTTCTACTGGGGGCGGGGGCGGGGAATACATTAGCTTTGTCCATGCCCCAGATGCCCAAGGTTTGCCTAGAGAAGAGCCCCCCGGACACCTTACCCCTGACACTCAGCCACTTCGGGTTCCTCGGGTGGCGGGCTGTCTTCCGATTTCTTCCAGCCGATGACATATTTGTTCATGGCCCCTTGCCGGTGGTAGGCCTTGGACACGGACCCCGGGGCCTGTTGACTGCTGCTGTGAGACACGATGTACACTTTGGACGTATCCAGAGACCCACTAATTTTGGAACCGTGAGCTGAGGGGCTTCCTGAATGGCGTGAACCACTGGGGAGAAAAAGACAGAAGCTGCGATACAATCAGATCTCAGCGGTGCGGGCACGTTGCCAAACTCAGAGCCACCACGCACGACTCCTGTCCTTCTCTGTGAGCAAAATCTGGCAGCGGGGGGCAGATGTGGCCGCCTCTCTGCCACGTGCCTTTGGAATGCCCTGCTTCCCACAGGCCAAGGGTGTTCATGTGCAAAGCTGTACGCCTGTGGCCAGAAGGATGTTCAAAGCCCAGTCAGGGGAAATCTAATAGAAAAATGGGCACCACAGTGATGCCTCAGAAGGAAAGAAACTCAAATGGTGAATAAACATAAGAGGAAGGGCTCAACCTCTGCCATCCCCAAGGAAACCAGTGCAAACCACTGCAGGGTATCAGGGCACACTCACCAGACTGGCAAAAGTGGGAGCCTCTTATGATGAGCGTCCAGTGTTACCAGCACCTGGGGCAATGGTCACAAGCCCGATGTGCTTTTCCATTTTCCTCATTCAGGCTTGATGAAAATGTCTTTGACCCCAATAGTAAAATATTTTAAAGTTAAACTCTAAGAACAAACGTATGGAATCCATTTGACGAGCAACGTGGCAAAAACCCGTGTCTAGCAGCAGTAACGTTGCTCTAAAGGTTTCCTCTGAAGCAGATCAACATTCTAGAATGTTGGCAATAAGGTTTTCATGAATCCTTTCCTTCTAGACTCACGTTCTTATTTTAGAGTTTCACTGCCAACTCTCAATCCTTTACGAAGAGTAGAGTATGATGACATGAATAAGTGTGAACGACAGGTAATCACATGAGCCATTTACAGGAGAAGCCAGGATGTGGGTTTTTTTGCTTTGTTTTTTTGGCAGTTGACTTGTTTCACTTTGCAAAAGCTTGGTTAGGCTCCTATGAATGCTGCTTTGTATTCTGAGCTCTTATCTAAGTGCCCTGCCCTCGTAGGAGAAAAAAAAAACAACCAACCAACCAAAACGGGTCTGCTGAATTAAAAGCATGGAGCGGCAGGGGAGCCGTCTTAATGGGTGGTGATTCCTGCACACCCCTCCCTCCAGCCCCGTTCTCGCCTCGCACCAGTGCGGCTTGTCTTCAGGGGTCGTAAGTCCCCGTTCCCAGTTCTCAGTGCAATCCCGGAATCGCACCACAAACATAATGGACGCTTGCTCTACTCCTGGATGGCTGTTGGGAACGTGCGCGTGTGTGGCGGAGCTGGTGGGGGTGGCAGTGATGCTGGTGGTGAAAATCCAGAATCAGAGTATTAAGAATGTGCCATAGATGGTCTGTGAACTGCGAACAGTCGACCGCTGGTGCCTCCTATTTCCTTAGGCAACCCAAGGCACTGGGTTACTAACTCAATCAACAAGCATTTATCCACAGTCTTCTTAGACTTCCCTCCTTCACTCAACAAACATTCCAATGCTTGTCAAGTTCAAGGACCTGTATGTACCAAGTGCTGTGGCTACAGAGTGAAGGAGACAGGCCCAGGCTCTCTAGATGAGAGGAGGCAGCAGCCTGGGGTGAGATCCACACTGAGTACAAATCATGTCAACCAGGGTTGAGCGCTGAGAAGCAGCTAAAACATGGTGGGATACATGAGTGCGTGGGCTGGAGGGGTGACTAGCCAGGATGCTTGGCGCTGATGCCAGCCCCCAAGAGGCTCTCCTGCTCTCCTGTTCCCTGGACTGCGCCCAGTCACAACTGAGCCCCTGGGCAGTGGGCCTCAGCTCCAAGCTGACCACACACTCAAAGGCCGACGGTACTCATCAACACAGGGAACGTGCGTCCCGGTCTGGGTCCTGGCATTTCAGGATCTGCAGAGCCTCAGCACCACTGTGGTAGGTGGGTCCCTTGTGCATTAATGAGCCAAGTTCCTTTTACCTCAACACACTGACATTTCAAGTCTTATTTTAAATGTAAAACTATTAACAGATAACACTTAAAAATACTTGAATATTTTAAAATTAAAAAAACACTTTAAATTATTGAAATCTTATTTTCTCTAGCTCTCCCATATGGGTGAGGGGACAGACAGGAGGAAGTGTGCAAAAGAGTTACTTTAATGATGAATTCCACATGAGCAAAAGCCTGCAACTGGAGTTGAAATGTGGCTTTAAAGTCACTGTCAACTAAGAAGGGCAAGAAAAAGGCACCTGGATGGGAAAGGAGCCCCTCACTCAGCACATGGCCCTTCTGCAACCGCTGTGCACATGTCCAGCGTAAAGGGGTCGAAAGAAGGAACGTCGACCAGAAATGCAATCTAGCAGTTTCCTGTGCTTTCTACGAGTCTGACCCATCACATTAATGAATGCTTAAGGTGTTCCAGAAAATTGACTTCAAATCCCTATAAATATCCTGACTCTATTCATAAAAGAAGGTGCTCTGAAAGCGGTTTCCACTGAAATTTTCCTCAACGGTAATACAAAATTCTGTTTGTGATGCCAATTACATCTCTCTAACGAGGTATCAGGAAATCAGCCATTTTACAAAACCTTCTACACTCTGAACAAGACACCAGAAGATTATAAAATCCCAAGATGGTTTTTACAGCCTGGCCAATTCAAAACTGTCTCTGAAAGTAAGACAGGAATAATTCAGGTAACCAAAGCCACTGATAACACTTAAATATTATTTTAGCTAGTACTAAACCTATTTAAAGTCAAATTATTAAAGAGAGCTGGTCAAAAGTAATAGGCGTTTCTACTTTGAAATAGTTTCCATATCCTGCACTCCGTCTGCCCAGGGGAAGAAGACAGAGCCTATGGTGGGTGCTCAGGACGCCCTGTCTGCATCTCCTCCCCCTTCTCCCAGGGACACGATCCTCTGATTTTCTTCTGAGGAAGTGGCTCTCTTCCCCAGTCTCCAGCTGCGCGGTTTGGCAGACTGACCCCCAGGCCCCCAGAGCACAGTGATTAAAGCCAAGAACACGTGAAGAGAAACTGGTGGCAGGGCAGGGGGGCATGTCTGCAGGAACTTGAAAAGATCCGCACTTTCTTCCTGTGACAGGGGAGCAGTAGCACGGGAGGCCTGCAGGTGACACAGCAGGTGACACAGCCATTCTCACCGCTGAGATTTCAGGGCCGTCCTGCCGAGCCCACGGACCGGGGGGACCTGGTCTCAGGTGACATCATGTGAGCTGCTGTGTCAAAGCAGAACCTTCACAGTTCTGGCCTGCGGGGTTCCATAAGCCAAAATACTACCTTCGCTGTGTGAGCTAATTCGTGTGCAGTTTTCTTTAACTTGTCACATAAATGCCCTCGAATGACACAAATGATGTAAATGTAAGACACAGACGACGACGTTAGCAACAGGAGAAGGAAAGCAGAAAGGCGGCAGTGAGCACGTGTGTGCAGGCACCCTCGTGTTTTAGGTTTGTGTAAAAAAAATTAATCTACGGTAATTTTCCGGGACTTAGAAGTTTAAAACGTTTTTTCAAACAAGATCAGACATCACATGACATCAGTCATGAAAATAACAGCACCACTGATGAGGTCTCGGCCTCGACTGAGAGGAAAGCCGAAGCGATTCATGTGTCTGCTTTGTGGTCACAGCTACTCTCCCTTCTGCCCGTCGGTTCGCCCCTCCCGGCTTGGCAGTGGCCGCGTGAGGACGGGCAGAAGGTCAGAGGGCAGCGGGCTCGGCCTGGGTGAAGGCGGCCGAGGAGAACAGGGGCCGGCACTGGGAACCCCACGGCCAGACTCAAGCACCATCGCTGGAGAAGTGCCTCCGCCGCGGCCTTAGGGACCTGGAAGGATAATCCCATCAGGGTTCATCTGACTGCCCTCCGGCAGCTAGAAGAGTTCTGAGGAAAAGTCAGACAGTCACTCAGAGCTGAAGCAGGGAAGGCCTTGGAGACAGCAAGGAAAACGAGAGCGGTCGTCGGTGTGCAGTAAATTCTACGCACAGCCAAACCTGAATGAAAGCGTTTCTCTGCCTGGTCTTTGAAGGGAGGAATCACCAATTATGAGTTTTAAAGTCTCTGTACAGACATATGTCAAACAGGAGTTTAAAACTACTCATGACTATATCCTGCACATTCGTAGTTAGAATACAATTCCTTTAAATTTAGCTGGTCTTTTTTTTTTTTAATTGGACTGTCACTGTGAACATACTTCCATTGGCGCACACACTGGTGAGAGGGGGCCCGCGGACCAGGGGAGAGCGGGGCACGGGCCTTCGGAGGGACGACGAGAGGCCGCCCCTCGCCCCCGTCACTGTCCACTATCCCCTGAGCGCTGTCCAGCTTGCCATCTCCTGAAAATCAGGGACAACAGATTGAACTGGGAGAGAGAGATGAGTGGCCTGGTAAGGGCCGTGAGCATCTCTGTTTAGTTTTCTCTCAACTTTCAAGAGAAAGGAAGATAGAAATCACAAACGTATTCGTGTGCACATTTCAAAGGAGACTCTGGAAGCATTTCCTCTGAAGTCAGGCCGCGTGGCACACAGGTGGCAATGACCTCAGGTGCCTGCTGGTCCTACTTCGGGCCCCTCTCCCACCCCAGCGCAGGCGACGGCGCCCAGGGTGCCCGGAGTGGGCGCCGGTGGCGGCGCGGGGACTTACCTGGAGTGGGATGAGATCTCGCTGAGGTCGCCCAGGCTGCCGTCGGCAGCATGGCCGGCGGAGATGCTGGGCGCATAGCCGTGGACCGCGTACATCTTGGCCTGCTCGTCGTCGGGCCCCGGGATGTCCGAGTCAGCCCACTGCTCCGCCTGCCCGTGGACCAGGGACCTGCTGCCTGCCAGGTGCATGGGGCCGAGGACCGCGGTGGGCATGCACGGGGCCGTGTCGATGCCACTGTCCGTGGAGGCGCCCTTGATGTACGTAAGGCCCGGCAACTCGGGGTCCATCAGGTCCCCGGACCCAAAGTGCTTGTCATCGCTGTTGCCAGAGGTGTCGCTGGAGAGTGTGTTGCTGCTGGAATGGCTGGGGCAGCTCTTCTCTCCAATCTTGAGAAGAAAGAGAAACGGGAAGGCTTCCAACAAATCCCACACTTTGCTTCTTCGTGAAGAGGTCATTCCCCCCCGGACTCAGGAAGCCACAAACCAGATGATTTCACCCGAACCCCTTCTGCTCACTTGTCAGTGAGAGGCAAGGAAAGAACTTCCTTGTAAAAAATATCCTGGTTTCATGCAAAAGTCCCCCTGAGTCATAATTCCTCCCATCATTCATCTTAACCTAAATGGGTATCTTTTCAAGTTTTTGTTCAATTACTTGTGCATGAAACGCCAAAGTATTGCCAGGGTGTCGCTAACCAGAAAGTAATCAACGAAGGTTACAGAAGCTGAGAAAGCACGTGGGGAATCAATAAAAGGAGGACAGCAGCCCTTCCTCCAGAAGATGCTCCTACGGCGAATGGCAGGGCCAGCCCTGCGTTTGGGGCTGAAGACCCAGGTCTGGATCACAGCGATGGGGCTTTGGACAGCCACTCGATCCCTCCCTCTGCTTATTACTCTAAGCCCAGCGATCACTGCATGGACCCAACCAGCTCACGTGCAGAAGCACGGCGTAAGCGCGAGACATATGCCCCAGAGCCCAAGTCAGGGCAGCCCCGGGGGGCTGACGAGATGGGGTGCTCTCGGGAGTGCTCTGAGATCCCTGGAAGACGAAGCCAAGAGAACAGGGTAAATGTCCCCGTCTGAGGATGTCCTGGTACAGACATGGCCCCTCTCCTCAGGCTGGGGAAACTAACGAGGCCCAAATCGTCAGTCGTGAGACCCAGCCGAGCCCCGATCTATTTTCAAGTGGTTTGGCCTTTCCTTCCTTCCTATTACATCCTCAAGCAACTCCCCTTGCCCTTTGTTATCACGCATGGATCTTCTGTGCAGGTGGCATTGATCGGCTCCATGAGGCTCGAGACGAGGTGGGGATACAGCTGAGAGACGGAGGCCACGTGTTTGCAGGTAACACTCGGCTAGCTCTACAGCTGGCCGGTGACGCACGGAGGAGACGGAAAGGAACAACTCAGCTCAAGGCCTCATCAAACGCCCACAGGTTCTGAAAGATCAGCTGCTTTATAAGGTTGGCCTCATTTGGCAACAACTACAGTTCCTGTTTTCACGTTTAACTGGAAGTTTTATTTCATTGAGCTACAGTCACCGACATGGCCCGCTTTTTCATTTTTGCGGAAAGTAAACCGAACCACGCGGGCACTGTGGGAACACCGGCTGCCTGTCAGTTGGCTGGGGCTGGTATTACTGCGCACCATCCGCGGCTGTCCACTGAGCCCCGGGCAGAGTGTCGCCCACCACACACCCCGCTCCACAGGTTCCGCTTCTGTGCTGTGCCCACAAGTGGGTAAGAGTTCACAGGTTAAAAATACCAAGGATCAAATGCTGAGTCTACAATCTTGGCTCTGCCAGTAATTTACGGTATGACCTTTCTTTGTGGTTCTTTATAAATCAAGGAGGGAAAAAAAAAAAACAAAAAACCCTTAGCTTTTCATTTAGTTTTTTTTTTTTTCCCCTCCACCCAAGAGCCTTGTGAGGTAAAAGACACCCCTGAGAATCCCTGGCAACAACGGTAATAAACCGCGTGTGCTGAGATGATCACAAGGGCCGAAGGAACGCTAGTTCACGAGGAAAGGACTCACATGAGAAAGCTTATTGGGGGAATCCTTGCAGCCTCCATCATTCTGCAGGCCTCTTTCTTTATAGGAGCTCAGGACTTTGGGAGGTGGGCCGTGCCATTTGGTTTCTGTCACAAAGAGAGAGAAGACTTAACATTTCATTTCTCGTGTTAACGAAGGAGCGAAGAAATGCAGGAGCCGAACGAATGGTTCAGTGACCGCGAAGAGGACTGTGGTTCTAGGACCTTCTCCCGGTCCCGCTGATGGAGACACCCTGGAGCAGGCAGAACTGCCCACAACGCTCATGGTCTGTTCCCCAGGCACCACAGGCACCACCCGCCGTGACCACGTCCCAGACGACGTCGCGAGGTCCAGCGGCCAACTCGCACAGGGCGGGATGCAGCCGACCAGACGTGCACGGCTGAAGGAACGAGTGAGGGAGAGGGCAGGAGGGAGGGGCGCCTCGGGGCAGGGGTCCTTGTTACCGGGGTGTCTGCTTCCTTCCATGGCGTCCTCCCGCTCCCTGGGCCCTTCACATTCCAAAGGGCCGGAGCCCTGGTGCTCAAGCAGCAGGGGAGACTGGCACCTGGAAAGAACACAGAGCTGAGCCCGCCTTGCCCCCCATCATCCCACCACTGTCCTGTGTGTGTGCTGGCTCCCCGAGGGGCAATCCCAGGGACCCCTAAACAGAGGCTGTCTCTGGCAGATGGAAATGCAGTCTGCCAGCCCAGCCCTGCCTGAGAGACTTAGAGCATCTGGAACTGGGGGCTCTTGTTTCACCACTGGGTCCATAGAGGCACTTGGATGACACTGTTTACAGATAAAGGAGGTGGCCGACGCCAGGGGATGGAAGGACTGTCTGGGGTCAGACGGCTCGTCCCCGATGGGCTGAGGATGGGCTCACTGCTTTTGCTGTCGCTGTTTCTCTTGTGCACTGATACTTTCTTATATCAAAGTTTTTAAGGAAAAAGAAAATCAGGTTGATTGGCGCTAGACTACATCCAGGTGGACTTTATTTTATGAAAACCCCCAAATAGGACAGTTCACTCTTCCAAAAGAAACTGCAGAAAACTTATTCACGTTACAAAGGGACACCTACTTACAGAATCCCAGTTACAGACCCCGGTTTGCAGAAAAAGCCAGAAGTGGTTTTTCCATTGACAGAAAAGGCTCCCCTCTACTTTAAAAATGCAGCTCAACGGAGAAGGATTTCTTGAAGTACCACTTTTAAGAACCCCCTCTAGGATCTAAGGTAGGGAATGCACGGAACTCGGACTGCAAAGCTCTACTTCTCAGCCCAAACCGGAAGGAAGGAGCATGCCGGGGAGAGACGTTTCCCTGGGCACGTGCGAGAGCAGTAATAGAAGGTTGTCTGGTCCGGTGAAAGCCTCCCCGGCTGACCTGGCCGTTCTCTTGTCTAATCAGTGCAGCCAGCTCCTTTGAGCAGCAGAGACAACACTGGGCCCCAGCAGCACACAGAAACACTGCTGCCCTGAGCCAGGCCCGCATCTCCGTGGGAAAGCACACCCGCCCCGCTGTTTCCCCTGACTGACTGTATCAGTAAATTCTGTGTCCTGTTCACAGGTGCCCTCAGGGTCCTAGATGCTCTGCTCACACACTACAAGGGACCTGCTAAATCTGCCTTCTCTGATTCTGGGCTGGGTTTGGGAGAGAAAACGCTTGCAAGAGAGGCTGTGAATTTATTCCTCGTCAGCAGTTCAAGTGAAGGGAAACTCCCAAGGGCCATCGCCCACAGGGTCTCCAAATCCTTAACTTTTACATGTTCAGAAAGACTCTCCCTTATTTAAAAAAAAAAATCAGACAAGCTCAGAATACAGACAAATGAGTGCCACCTCCATAGAAATGATGAGCTATCCAGCCTGGATGCACCCGTCCTATCAAAGGTCTGTCTTCATTTCTCTGTCCCCCAGTGGCCCCGTGCACAGTAAGCGCTTCTGAATGTGTCCCGCAAACAAGTGCCCCCCAGGGGCCCGCAGAAAGGTGAAAGTGAGCGGTACCCGTCGTATCCAGCTTGTGGTCTCCAGGGTCCGCTCCCGCCGGGTCCGGGATCACTGGAGGAGGACTGGTTGCTGGGTGAACTTCTGAAAGGTTGACTAGAATCAGTAACCGGGCCCTGAGGGGTCTGCAGGCTGCCAACATCCTGACCTGGCTTGTTTTGTTTTACAAGTGAATTCATTCTTCAGTGATGCAGAAAAGGAGAAACACGCATCGCAGTCATGGACAAATAAACTAAGAATTGGTGATGCCATGAGATTTCAGGTGGTTTACGGTTGGTAATTTATTATAAGAAAGAGATGTGGCGGAAACAAGGCTTCACCATCTAAAGATTTCAAGCACAGCTAATGGCGCCAGTGAAACACGCGGAACCCCCAAGAACACAGAATTATGCAAACATCACTACTACTCGGTCTGTGAGACTTAATGCAAGGCACGTTGTGGTTCTATATTTAAAATCCATACAGAGAGAAAACCCTAAATTTCTGGCAAAGCCACGTATTTCCACACATCGATTGAATGCCATCCTATTTATTTCAGACACACAAAAATGAATGATCCTCGTGAGAATTCACTTGATGAAGATGTGCTCGCCAACTTCCCTGTTGCTATTAGGACCCTTCCTTATAATTTACTAAATTCTATGTTAATAAGGGACGTTCTGCAGACCCCTTTCCTTCCAGATGTCACCCTTTTCACCTGGGCTATGTACTATGTGCATTTCTCTGAATATGGGAAGTTTATAAACTCAGCAGACCTTTGAGAAGAGACCAAGAGCCCAGATGACTTAGTGTCAAGTTGAAGTAACACCATTCCTGCACCCACTCTTAGAAGAATAGACTGGAGGAAGCAGAGGAAGACCACGTGTTTTCATCTTAGCAATTATTATTAATACCTGTATAGGCTCCCTATGTGCCAGGAATGGTTCTAAGCAGTTTACCTCTCTTGATTGACTCAATTGTCCTAATGCCCTGTGGAGGTCTCTATGATTGCTAAATTGATCTTTCAGACGAGGAAACTGGAGACTGGGAAAGGCCGAGTAACAGGCCAAGGTGATGACCCGTCAAGCCAACAGCCTGGCCCAGTGTCTGCTTACAGCATACGTTCTATTAGACGAGAGCCTGACAAGACATTCGGAGGAAACTCACGGTGTCTCCATGGCCCATAAGTTATGCGAAAGTTAAAACAAAAGGAGTAGGAATCAACAACCACAACAGAACAAATTTACTACGTTGTTCACTTAAAACTACCTTTGCGAACTATGCAACCCCCGAAAATTCTCACCAGCTTCTAATGCTGTTGGATTTAACTTTTAAACGAGTGCATTCTCTCAGGGAAAAACTTAATTTTAAGCTCAACCCCCTTTGCTTAAAATGAGAGAGAAAAACAAAGAGATGCTAATGATCCTAGGACCTCTGAAAATACTACACCCACGAGGGTGATGGGATTTCATCGCTGATTCTGCGGCTTTCTTTATACTCAAACCGTTCATATTTATCTAGACGCTCCTGCAAAATGGTTTCTCGGATATCTTTCCCGAGACGGTGTGGAGAGCGGGTTGATAGGAGGATCGCGGTGAAGAGGGATGGCCGTGGCCCTGGGGGGCAGCATCCGTGGGGAGGACCTGCACGCCATCAGCATCATTGCTGGGCCAGGAACCCAAGCACCCCAGCATCTGGGGCCCGCCTGGCCACCCTGCCTGCCCACTTGGTCAGAACAAGCTAACTCAGAAATGATTAAGCCACATAAAAGTCCCCCTGACCCTCTGAAGTTCTAGCTGCAAGAGCTTCACAAGGGCCGCCCATGAGGAAACGGTACCAGCCTTACCTGGTGCCGTCGGGCAGCTTCCGGTCAAAGGAGGTGCTGCGTGGGATGGCGGCCTGGGTCTGTGGGAGCAGCGGCTGGCACTGCAGCCTGTCAGGCGTGCCGGGCACCGGGGAGGCCCTGGGCAGGGGCTGCAGGGCGGGCGTGGGCACTCGGTGCCATGTGGTGTTCCTCCGGAAGGGGGTCTTGTACTCACAGGGGGTGCCCTCGCTGTCGAGCTTGTACTCCACCATGGGGATCCGGCAGAGCTCCGAACACCCTCTGTGAAGCCAAGAAGAGATGGTCGGGGGGTGCTCAGCGCCGAGCCCTCAGCACCGTCCCTCGCAACCGCACACGTGCTTCTCGGGGCGCACAGACAGTGATGCAGAGCCATCACCCTCAGGAGCAGCCCTGGCGACGGTGACCTTGTCTGTTCACCCCCCAGCGCGGGTCAGGAGGAGGCAGTCTCGCGCCCGTGGCTCTGATTAACCGACAGATACACCTGTCAGGTGTTTCATTCATAGGCTCTGTCTCTCCAGGTAGCCTGCAAACTTCGTGGACAGACTGCCGTGTATCTTTAACCACTTTGCACACACTCAATCACCTGCACTGAACATGGGGGATAGATAAACTTCAATCGATGAAAAACGCCTCATACATGATCTAAACAGATAGCTCAAAGTACAGTTGTATCATCGGGGATCAGAGTCACATGTTATACCAAGTCTGAGAAAAGTGAGAAACAAACTTCGCAAAAAGCTGTCACAGCCAAGGGAAAGCCTGAGTGTCCATCCTGCCAAAGTCACGTGTGGTCTTAGTTACACGGTCACTCCCACGGGTCCTCACAAGGTCATCTCCTGTGGGCTCAAATGATCAGTCAGGGATGTAAGACCCTTTAGCCTGAAAAATGTGATCTCAGACACCCCTCAAGTTACACCGTGCACGTAGTGCTACTGACTTGACCAAAGTGACCTGCAAAGCCAACTGGTGCTGTTTGGCCAGGACACAGGAAGCCTCGGTGAGTCTCAGATTGGAGTGTCAGGGTAAATCACCCCAAGTTACCACATGAATGAAGCCATGCCTCTACCTAGACGTTCCGGAGTCAGCGGAAAAACTTTCTCATATTCACTCTAAGAAATCTATTAAGGTGATAAGGTATCGCTCTTTAAACAGGAGACTTTCATCCTCAAGATGGTGGAGTAAAACTTTTCAGAATCATTACAAAAGAACAAAGAGAACAAAAACCAAAAACAAAGTGGACCATCAACAAAACTTGGAGACACCAAAACACAGTATATAAAGATGGAAGGCAATATCGAGACTGGAAAATCTATAGAGAAGGACAGTAGATAAGCTGTCACCTAGGACTGGGGATGGGAATAGAGAGTGTCTCTAAATCAGAACAAGGTTTCTTTTTCAGGTGATTAAGATTTTCTAAAATTAGAATGGGGTGATGGTTGCACAACTCTGAAAATATTCTAAAAATGGGTAAATGCTATGGCGTGTTAAATAGATTTTAATAAATTTCATGAATTAAAAGAAAAAAGATGGAAGGCAAATGGGAGAACGTCAGTGGTGGAGCAGAGAAAGGCAAACCCAAGGGTGTGCAGAGGGAAAGACAAAGAGAAGCATGGCCATCCCCTTGCACACTTGAACAGGTGCAGGAACAGAGGGGCCACAGAGAGCGGAAGGGGAAGGGAAGGGGTGAGCAGAGAAAAGTGTGACGCTGGGGTCCAGGCGGCACTGGGCCCCGCCTGGCAATACCCACCCCTGCCTCTCGAGGGCAGGAGCAACGGTCTCGGGAACCCAACCTGAAAGGAGGGACTCAAGGTCACGAGGTACCCAGAAGAGCACAGCTGAAAACAAAAGGTGAAGTAAAAGCTTCACTGGAAATGAGACCCCGAGTTGCTCCTTCCTGCAAACCCAGCTTCAGGGTCACGCCTCAAATAAGAGGGATCTTTCTCCAGAGTAAAGACAAGCAGGTGTACACCACCTGATCACCCTGCCATGAGGCTCACCACTTTTGAAATTTAAAAAGTGGATGGCTAAAATTCAAAATAAAAAATCCAGTAAGACAGGTGGAAGGTAAACTGAGGAACTCGCCCAAAACGTTACAGGAGAGCAAATGCAAGAAAATTCAAGTTCAATCTCAGAAGTCTAACATCTACCTAACAGAGAAAGAGAAGAGAGGGAAAAAAGTGGGAAGAAATGATTAAGAAATAATACAAGAGGGCTTCCCTGGTGGCGCAGTGGTTGAGAGTCCGCCTGCCGATGCAGGGGACGTGGGTTCGTGCCCCGGTCTGGGAGGATCCCACATGCCGCGGAGCGGCTGGGCCCGTGAGCCATGGCCGCTGAGACTGCGCGTCTGGAGCCTGTGCTCCGCAACGGGAGAGGCCACAACAGTGAGAGGCCCGCGTACCGCAAA